AAGTAAATAGAAATACGCATGATGTACATGCAATTTAATGTTTATGGACATTAAACTTTATATTTATAAATATAGAGGAAGGTTCAGGTACGGCGATGTCCATAGGTGCGGCGGTGGGCGTCACCAATACTTCAATAAATATACACCATCAACGTTAGGAAAATGCACCACAAAAACACACACAAATTAGGTACGCATCATCAAAAACCAAGGTTTCAAAAAATGTTAGGCCCCATAGGCGCCGATTTATTTATTTATTTTTCTAAAAAAAAATAAAAAAAAATTAATTAAAAATTGTGAAATTCACTAATAAAACATAAGATTCCTCTAGTTTTTTCTTACAAATTATTTTAATAAGTGGTTGTAAAATCGTTTTGAATATTGTTAAAACCATCTAAATACATAAAAAATTAAAATTAAGATCAAAAGAAGCAATTTTTGGAGAAATTAGAAGACCAAACCGCCTTTGGCTGTTTGTGGTGTATAGATCTTGAAAAAATACGCGATTTGAAAAAAAAATTGTCCAAAATGGACAATCGAGTCAAAAGTAATGCCTTACCGAACTTTCTTCACTTTTCAATAAAAAAAAAACTAAAAAACACTGGTTCGGCCAATTAATCGCCAGTTCGGCCGATTAATCGCCGCCTAGCCGCCCGGCCACGGAGGAGGCCGATTCCGGCCGAATCGTCCTCGGCCGGGCGGCGCCTAGGCGCGATTTTTGCAACATTGTCAAAAACACACCATTATGTGTGAGTAAAAACACCATACAATGTTCGGAAATACACCATTGGAGTGTGGTGAGTTATATGGTGTATTTTTTGTGTATGTTGTGTATTTTTTTGTATTTTTGTTGCATTTAATTGTGATGTGTTTCCCTTACACTGTTGGTGCATGTTGTTAACACTGTTGGTGTATTTTGAAATTCCGTCGCACCACCGCACAGGAATGAAGACCCCACCGCATTTGAACTTTCTTCTATAAATACTAGTATTTTACGCGCATTGCGCGATTTGGATAATGCCCAACGTTTTTTTTTTTTTTTTTTTTTTTAAATAAGTACTTTAAAGTATATCAAGGCTATTGGAATTCTTCATGCATAGATAATTGAATGTTAAATTTGCGTATTTAAATAGGCCATTCTAAGTTTACAAATGTAAGATAATATAGTCAAGATGGATTATAATTGTCAATAAAATAATTGTATAGGTATAGTTGAAACCAAATACGGGACATAAGGGAGAGCAAATAAAAATTAGGACATAAAATATTAAATATATACTAATATTTAAGAGCTAACTGCTGATTGTCAAACAATGACATTGCGATATAGTTTCCCACTTCAATTTGTTGTGTGATTTGAATACTCTTTTTGTCAATAAATCTCTCAAGTAGTTAATATGATTGGCTTGATTATATTTTTTATTTTTTAAAACAATTATTATTATTATTATTATTATTATTATTATTATTATTATTATTATTATTATTATTATTATTATTATTATTATTATTATTATTATTATTATTATTATACCCTTAGGTCATTTTACATATTAATCTAAACAGCTAATTTTTTTCAAATATCTTTTTACCAACCTTTGTTATAATTCGCCGGTCAAATTCGCTAACGCTAACCGCTAACTGCTGATTGTCAAACAATGACATTGCGAGGTAGTTCTCACTGCAATTTGTTGTGTGATTTGAATTTTCTATTTGTCAACAAATCACTCAAGTAGTTAATATAATTGGCTTTATTAATTGTATTTTTTTAGTTTTTTCATGGTATTAATAAAATACTTGGTAAATAAATATATAGAATTATTTTGTATTATAACTTTGATAATTAATTAAAAAATTATGCACAAAAAAGATAATAGGCAATGTAGTGATTATAATCAATTGATGAATTTGAATGTAAAGAATTTTTACATTGGAGAAATATAAAGACAATATAACTAATAAAATTATTTCTCTTAATTAATTTAATGAGAATAAATAAATTTTTTTAATAAAGACATTGTAAGGACAACGTAGTGAATATAATGAATTGATGAATTTAAATGTAAAGAATTTTTACATTGGAGAAATATAATTAAAGACAATATAACTAATAAAATTATTTCTCTTAATTAATTTATTAATAATGAATAATTTTTTTTAATAAAGACATTGTAGGGACAATGTAGCGAATATAACTAATGAAATTATTTCTCTTTTTTTTTTGAAATTATTTCTCTTATTTAATTTATTGATAATGAATAATTTTTTTTGAATAAAGACATTGTAGACACATAATTCTAAATTAAAGAAATGCATATGTGTTATTTTTTGTTGTAGCTACTAAATTATTATTTAATTTAATAAGAGTAAAATAGAGTACTAATTATGCCAACTTTTATTGGGATGAGGTTCGAACCTAAGACCTTTCTTATTGAAATCAATGAGTAAGTTAACGGTGAACTAACAGAAATTAACAGAAAAGATAATATTTAACGGAAAAGTTAACGGATAATCATATTCATTAAGGATAAATTAGGAAATCTTAAAGGAAAAATTAAAATCTTATCAATCTGAGCCAATCATTTGATTAAAAAATTCGACCGCCATTTTTTCTACTCATTATAGGCCTAACTCTCTTGGGCTCTTATTAGTATAGTAGATAGTAGATATAGAATAAATATAATGATCATAGTGCACTATAATGTTATTAAACGTGACACACCGGTTGACACTTGGTATAATTAAAATCATTCCATTTTAGACCATGATTCACCATGCAAGGTGGAGTGGTCCAATTTATAATTTGTGAATTCTTTCACTTTTTTTGTTTGGACAATAATATATAGTTTGCCCTTTTTCAATGGGAGCTGAGGCTAGCTAGTAACAATTCTCTCACATTTAATTCAATGGGGTAGCTCAAGTCGTAAATGAGTTCTCTTTGTGGGGAGAATTTTGAGATATAATTGAGGTTGGGAGTCGATTTCCACAATTGACGATTCTCCTTGGGCTAGCTCCCGTACCTCCCAGAGCGAACGAGAATTAGTCGAGGACCACCTCGTGATTTACACCAAAAAAAATAAAATTCTCTCACTTTCATTCAATCCAATATATGTATGTAAGCTAGCAGTATGCAGAACCCAAACATAAAAAATTTAATTTACTTTTTTGCAAATTGCTAACAGGTTACAAATACAATTATTAAAAAAATAATTAAAAATAATTTAAAAATTTAATAATAAAATGAAATAAAAAATAAAAAAATAACGGAATTTCAGCCACCGGCTATCCGGCGAGGACAACTGGTGATTGCGTATTTCACAGACAGCCGTGGCTGTTCGATGAGGACAGCCGGATAGCCACGGCTGTCATGTTTGAGGTCCAGATCTGGACCTCAAACATGACAGCCGTGGCTGTCTGTTAAAATACTCAGCCACTGGCTGAAATTCCCATTTTTTAAAATTATTTTTTTAATAATTGAATTCGTAACCTGTTAGCAACTTGAAAAAAAAAAAATTAACGAGTTAATACCCAAAATCGTCCTCGACTATAGTGGTTTTTCTCAATTTCGTCCTAAACGACTTTGGTGACCTAATATCGTCCCAGACTTTTGTGTTTCGCTCAATTTAGTCCTCCATTTGTTATTCCGTCAAATTGGTGTTAAATTTAGGGACAATTCAGTAATGTCAATATTGATCTCTCTTTACTTTCAACTTGTGAAGTGCAAAATTCCTCTTTCTTGTACGAATTACACCCAGAATTACTCCCGGATCTGCAAATCAAATTTTATATTTGCAGTTTTAGGAGTAATTCTGGGACTAATTCGTAAAAAAAAAAAGGATTTCGCAGTTCACATGTCTATGAGTAAAGAGATGTCAATATTAAATTACTTAATTGTCTATTTATTTAACACCAAATGGATAGAATAACAAATGAGGGACTAAATTGAGCAAAAACACAAAAGTATGGGACGAAATTGAGCGAAACATAAAAGTCTGGGACAATATTAGGTCATCAAAGTCGTTTAGGACGAAATTGAGAAAAACCACTATAGTCGAGGACGATTTTGGGTATTAACTCAAAAATTAACTAAACAAATTTAGCAGGTAAGTGTGGTTAATTAGCCTTTAATTTAGTTCGTGGTGCAAATTGAACACTTGACAGTAGTAGATGAACCTATTTGAAACTTCTCCCTTTAATTTAATATTATTTGGGCATTTCTAGGCCGCCCGCCGTCCATTTACATTGCTTTCTGCTAAGATGGAACAGATTACCTTAAACCCACAGCTTTACCAGATTTCCTCCTTCCCCTACCTACATAACAGAGACAAAACTAAAGTATACCCATAAAAGATGTAGCACTATTATCCATGCTTCATTTTTTTTTTCAAATCCCAAATTTCTAAATTGGGTATTTAAAAAAAAAATACATTTTAACTTAAGGTTAAAAACAAGTGTAGTAACGCTATGTACAAAGTAATATTGTAAAAATCGTGCCTAGATTCCAATTTTGCTTCGAACAATGACGGAATCAACCTTCTATAGGCATAGGCGCCACCTAGCCGGTCGAATATACACTCTGTGCCGTTTTTTATGGATTATTTGCTCAAAATGACGTTATTTTCAACGAATAACTCTAAAAAAAAAAAAAATCAACTTACTAATTGTCTAATTTCTAAATTGTTTTTCCTCCGCCAAACTAATTTCACTCGTCCTCCAGTTCAACCCTGTCATTTTTATACAATTTACAATTAATCAATTATAGGATTTATAGATAGGATATTCTTAATGTAATTAGGTTATTATTTAATATTTTAGTATTAAGTATTTATGTACTAACTATTAAAGTATTAACTATTAAATACTTTATAATTATCAACTCTTAAAGAAATTTTAAAAATAATAATAAAATAATAAAAAATTTTAAAAATAAGAAATAAAAAATCGTGCGGCTAAGCGCCCCTGAATATTCGAGGGACGTCTAGTGATTTTTTCAACATTGGTACAAAGGACAAAATAATTAATTAAAAGTAAGAAAATTTTAAGGTGGCCATATCGTTTGTACCGAATACAACCAGACATAGTATACCTGATATAGAGTTATGTTGTACTCAATACAAAAAAGTAACCGGTGCTACTTATCAAAACCTAAAAATTCACCTTTCAAAAAAAAAAAAAAAAAAAAAAACCTAAAAATTCAAAATAAACAAAGAAAGAAAGAAAACTGGATCCTAAATTCCTAATATGAAGGATTATTATTATTATTATATATATTGTTGATCAAGTCCTGGCATTCTTGGTGTGGTCATAGATGACATCAAGCAAAACGGAAGTGTGGCACATAGGGCACTTATTAGGCTTGGCTTCCGCAAGCATGACGTACATGAGGCAGCGCGGACACCCCACCAGCACCATCGACGTCGCCTCCTCCGCGCTACCGTCGTCGCCGTCCTGGCTCTCCGACGACATGCAAGAGCTGGGCGGCGACCTCGTCGGTGACCGCCGCATCGGCGACGACGACTCCGCCGGCTGCTGAAGACGGCTGGCCCTCGGCGGCGACAAGTTCAGCTTCAGCTCAAGCTTTGGAGCCGCGCTTTCATTCTTCCAGCTCATGATGACTCTACAAATTAATTCAATTAAACAAAATTAGAACTCAGAGGATCATCAATATATTAAGAAAACTATTCATTTACAAAGAAAAGATGATTTTCTTGAATTTGCACCTTCAAATTGAGGTGAGGAGGGAGGAAGTAAGGCCGGGCGGTGGAGGAAGAAAGCGGTGGCGCCACCACGGATCGGAGAAGCACGGCAGTTGTGGTTGATGGGAATGGTGAAGAGGGAAGCTAAGGGGCATTATTATATATAGAGAGGAATTGAAGTTGGAGAGAGTTGGGGGAGTGAGTGCTATAAATTAAATTAGATAGGTTAATTAAATTATGGTGGGAGAGGTGGAGGGTATAGCAGATAGATGAGGACGTTGTAATTGTATAAGAGAGAGAAAATTGAAAGATGGCATAAATTTGAGGAGCATGCATGAAATTAATGTATTAATTGCATGCTTTGATGAAGTGCCAACTTCAATTCCAACCTTTTTTTTTCTTTTTCATTTTTTTTTCTTTTTCATTTTTTTTTCTTGTGACAAAAAGATGGAATCACTCATCTCAGGTATCCCGCCCACACTTTCATTGTAGAGAGGTTAATAATCAACAGAAACTAGACTTTTATTACTGCGGACAAGGAGCCTATGTCTCATTTTGAGGGGTTGCTCCCACACGTATTGTCACTATTAGTGAGACTCGATCATTATACTTGTCTCTTGTGTCTAATTATTCTTTATTTCATTGAGTATTTTCTTTATTTTTGGCCATTTTAAGTTATAATTTTTTCATAGTATTTTTAAAATTCAACAATAAACAACTAAATACACCATTTCATCTTCGATGCTAACTGAGGGACCAAAAGAGGTTCTCACAATTGATGGATTAAGTTCACTATATCATAAATTGTAAAATTACAAGTACTTTTTTTTTTTTTTTTATAAGGCACATACTATACTACTTTTCACATCTCATGAGATATGACTAATCTAATTTAATTTAGATTGAATCTCATTCAATGACAACCCTCACTCTCTAAGGCATTCTAAGGCATTGTTACATACACATAGATCCACACTCTCAATTGCATATTTAAACGATTCAAAAAGAGAGTTATATATATATATATATATATATATATATATATATATATATATATATATATATATATATATATATATATATATATATATATGAAGGTGTATTCTTCATAGTTAAGGTTGTTGAAAAGTTTCATGGTAGCTAGCTTAGGTAGTATAGAAAGTTTTGTTGGCAATAAATATTAATTTAACAAATTATTATATCAGAAGGCCAACTTTAGGTTGGATAAGACTACGTAAGAGCGTGGGAGAGAAATTAATGTCCCAATTGCTCTTCCAACTTCGCCCCACCTATACGTTCATGGCCACAGATATTAGAAGAAATAAATATCTTTTATTTATATATATATAACATAAATAGCCATTATATATATAGCATTTTATGCGCTCATACATCTACGTACCAAATTTTATTACTTTGTAATTTGTGATTTCCATTGTGACAATGAATCCAGACAACAATCACTAATAGAATAGTTGACGATATCAAACTATAACAAAGAATAGCTAAGCCTGTCCAGCTCATCTCACATCCCACAAGGGCCTTCTTGTAAATATATCCTTTGTATCTTTTGTAACTACTTTTACCGCCTTTTTCCTTTCCCATATAAACGTTGTAACCTCCAGATTTGCAGTCAGTTTTTCCAGTAATGAAACAGTTCCATCTTCTCTTCTTCTCATTCCTCATTCGCTAATATGGTATCAGAGCGGGGATGGAGCAGCTACGCCGCCGTCGTAACCGGCGCAGAAGACTCCGGCCAGAGAACGCGACCATCAACTCCGATCAATCACTCACCGAATCACGTCACGCCAACAAGCAACTTCCAGAGATCGCTAACTCCGCAGCGGAGCAACCGGTTGGAGGATGTAGACAATCCTCTGTTTTTGAGCAGTACTGAAAACATCAATGCAGTGCTAGTTAGCCCCCCTCTCGCAGGCAGTTCCAACTATGGAACTTGGAGCATCTCCATGCGCGTTGCGCTGGAGGTAAAGAACAAATGGAGCATCATAGCAGGAACTACGATCGCGCCGGACATCTCCCACACGCAGTATTCAGCTTGGAGGAGGTGTAATCTCATGATATGTGCATGGATCTACAAGTCCGGTCATCCTTCGATCGCGCAAAGCGTTATGCACATTCAGGATGCGAAGGAAGTATGGGACGATCTAAGGAAGTGGTTCTCCCAGAGAGATCCACATCGGATCTCATCTTTGCAGATGGAGATCAATAATTTGAAGCAGGAAAACTTGTCCGTGAACGACTATTACACTCGTTGCCGGATCCTGTGGGAACAGATGAATGAGCTTAGACCCTTGCCTATCTGCCGATGCACTCCGCAATGCTCCTGCAAAGCTTTTGACGAGATCAGAAAGGAGAAGGAAGTCGATCAAATCATCCTATTTTTGCAGGGATTGAGCGAGGAATATAATTCTTTGAAGTCCGGAGTTCTGGTGTTAGATCCTCTCCCTGACTTACACAAAATGTTTGTCATGGCCGAAAAATTTGAAAGGCAACTCAAAATTGAAAGTATGAATCTAAAACACTTTGAGATAAGTCATGCTAATTCTGTTCAAACTAATCCCACAGACAATCAAGAAGTTGTAGCTGCCATCGGATACAATAACAGTAGAAGGAACAACAACTTTGGAACTGGGAACAAGGCTGCCACATGCACTTATTGTGGGAAAACAGAGCACACCATCGAAAAATGCTATAAAAAGCATGGTTACCCTCCCGGTTGGGTGCCGGGATTCAAGACGAAAGGCAAGCAACCAGCCATGGCAGCAGTCTCCACATCCAACAATGAGATTAATACCAATGAACAAATGCAGAAGCTCATCTCTCTCCTACAACTCCAGATGGGGCAGAATCAATCCACTGCAGCTGTTACACTCACCAAGCCACAAGCTGATGAAGGCAAGTCTATCCTTCATAATACTATTAATTCTGTTTATCTGCAACATTCATCTTGGATACTGGATTCCGGAGCCACTAATCACATAGTGTGCTCCTTGGATTTCTTCGATTCTTATCATCCTGTGGAAGGAACAAGAGTGAATCTACCTGATGGGAAGCAAATAGAAGTCACACATGTGGGGCATATAAAGTTGAAGGACAGTCTGAATCTGGAAAATGTTTTATACATTCCCTCCTTCAACTTTAATATCATTTCTATTAGCCAATTACTTCAAGAATCATCTTATGAGTTGATATTTAATTCTCATCAGTGTCTCCTTCGAAGCAACCATGGGAAGCTGACTGGTTTGGCTAAGGAAGCAAATGGCTTATACCTGCTGAATGAAACACCTGCTCAGAGTCAGTTTGCTATGTCATGTAGTAGTGAAGTGTGGCATCAAAGATTAGGCCACTTTCCTTTTAATAAGATGCACTTACTTACTGATGTTCATGTTTCTCATTCCAAGAAAGCAGCATGTGATACTTGTCACTTTGCAAAGCATAAGAAATCTCCTTTCCCTGTTAGCAGTACACTGTCTACATCTTGTTTTGAATTAATTCATATTGACATTTGGGGCCCTTTTGTTGTACAATCCTTGAAAGGAGAAAGATATTTCTTGACAATTGTTGATGACTATTCACGATACACATGGGTGCATTTAATGAGAAATAAGTCCGAGACACAAGGCATAATCAAGGGCTTTCGAAAGATGGCTCAAACACAGTTTGATCTCCCAATCAAGACTATCCGGAGTGACAATGGAGTAGAATTTAACATGAAAGATTTCTTTGCTGAATATGGAATAATCCACCAAAGGACTTGCGTCAATACCCCACAACAAAATGCGGTCGTAGAACGCAAGCATCAACACATATTGAACGTAGCCAGGGCATTGAGATTTCAGGCTAATCTACCTTTGGAGTTTTGGGGACAATGTGTCCTACATGCTGTGTATCTCATCAACCGCCTCCCATCACCGGTCATTGAGTGGTCTTGTCCTTACAAAAGGTTGTATGATAAAGAACCCGATCTCAACATCATCAGAGTATTCGGGTGCCTATGCTATGCATCTACATCATCCATATCAAGGCACAAGATGGCCCCTAGAAGCAGAAAATGCATCCTTGTTGGGATGCCCTCCAATATCAAGGGATATCTTTTATATGATATGCATGACAATTCTATCTTTATTTCTCGTGATGTAGCTTTCTATGAAGATCAATTCCCTTACGTAGAGAAAGAGCAGCCTCATGATGCAACAGTAGATCCCTCGGCTATCCCATCTCTGCCAGTGATTCCCACAAATAGCCATGAAGGGTTCAACTTTCAACAACCGGAATATGATAAAGAAAGAGTCAATGACAAGCCTCAGTCTTCTAACAATCCAATGGTAAATGGAGAGACTCCCCAATCTAGTCAAGCCAGTCTAAGCAATGATCCCTACCAAGAACCAGTGGACAATGATATTGGTGATCCACTGGGCAGTAGAGTGCATGAACTCCAAAATGGTAATGGCCTTGTCACTGCCTCCTCTCCAACAGACGCAAACAGCTCCACTCAAGACCATCTTATTGTCAATAATGATCCATCGGTCTCTCCCACAAGAATAAGAAAGTCCACCAGACAACGACACATGCCAAGCCACTTACAAGACTACTACTGTGAATCTGCTTCTGTGGTAAACTCTACTCCTCATCTCCTATCTAAAGTTGTCTCAGATGAACACCTTGAACCAGCACACAAAGCTCTTTCAATGGCTGTCACAGCCATAGGCGAACCAAAGTCTTATACTCAAGCCGCCAAACACAAATGCTGGAAGGAAGCCATGGATACTGAAATAGAGGCTCTACAGAAAAATCAGACATGGGAGTTGGTGGATCTTCCCCCCGGCAAACATCCCATAGGCTGCAAATGGGTGTATAAGACCAAATTGAAAGCGGATGGAACTATTGAACGACACAAAGCACGATTGGTTGCTAAAGGCTATAACCAGCAACTTGGGATAGACTACTTAGACACTTTCTCTCCAGTTGCTAGAATCACGACCATCCGCACCTTCCTTGCAACTACCGTCTCCAAGTCTTGGCACATTCACCAGATGGACATCAATAATGCATTTCTTCACGGAGATTTAAATGAAGAAGTATATATGGAATTACCTCCTGGTTTCCAGAATGATAAGCCACATCAAGTTTGCCGGCTCCTAC